TCGATTCTTGCAATCGTCACCTTCGCTTGGGATTCAACATGATGAGGGTGGGTGGATCAGGTGGCTGATTGAAACCGTTCTTGATTTGGAAAATGCGGGTGGTAGGCAATCCCTGGATCGATTGTGTAGCTTGATACGCACTCCTTAGAGCAGTACAGCAGTCACTTGCCCAGCTATCTGAACTGGTAACTGTAGCATGGAAAATATTCCAACATGAGTGGATGTACTAATCTCGAAATAGAAGTGAGTGCATCAGTGTTTCTGGTTGGTCGTTCTTGAAATCGATTGGCACAAGACAGAATTCAAGATTTGTTATCATTCTTATGTGTTCAAACTCCTGATCTGCATACATTCTCAGTGTTTTATTAAAGTTGTCTCGGCAAATTGGACGTTTTGATTTTAATTATTAATGTATTTTACTTTCTTTTTATTTGTTTAATATATATAAGTGTACAGTCAACTTTCAGGTCGCTAAAAGGCTGCCTGGGAAAATACAGAAATGGGTGGAAGATAGGTGGCGGTCGAGTGGTTCACACTTTCATGCACTGGTTTCGGTTCTTACCTTTTGGCTTCCCATTTGGACGGGAAATGAAGGAATAACGGGGAAGACTTTATAAGCTGAGAGTACTGTCAGCATGAAGATAAGAAAATCACTTAAATTCGATCTGTAGATGATTTAAGAATGAGGCATATAAAGCTACTTGCCTTCATTGAAGACGATATCCAGAACTGAAATCGGTGATTTGGTGGTGGTGGCGCATTGGTTTAGGCAATGTCACTGGCGTGCTTTGGACTCTATGGTCCGAGGTTCGAGCACCGCCACCCAACTGGTGGTAGGCAGCTTTGCTGTCGTCCGGTCCAATACCACACCTGACCTATCGGGGCTTTATGTGGATCTCCATTCCAAGTCCCGAGGATTAGGTTACCGGTTTCCATCACTGAACAGCAGGTCCTCGTGACTATGGGGCTTCCCGCGTCTACTGTTCATCACACGAAAGTGTGTAATAAAAAAGCCGGTCCGGTGATTTTGTACACACAATTTTTATGCGAATAACCCTAAGTAGAGGTTACAGATCGGTTGGTGATGCTGATGAGCTTTAAAAAAACGAAACACCAAAACCTGGTAATTTGGATGAACTTAGGATTATTCATGAGGATGAATACTAAACGGCAATCAGTTAAAATCATCACTGCTCATCAAAAGCATCTTCAATATATGTAAAATATTGGGGGAAAAATCATGAGCCCTTTTTGTTACAAACGGATTTGAAAGATCCTGATCCTAACCAGTTCTGTCACTCAAAGGTAACAAGATAAGTTTTATGTGTACGGTTAAGCGTGAGTATAACTGTTTTATGTGGTTTTCCATTCTCCAATATTTCGCTATAGCACTCAGTGCAGGTGCTCGTTCGTCTTATGCTCCATGTGGCTATCAATAGGACTCATATAACTCGTACGACGCTCACAGTCTCGTTCATCATAGTATATATCAGAGGGTATTGAGCACGTTATCGCTATTGGACACGTAGCAAATTGTCAACCTCAAGTTAGCCGATCTCATTGAAATATGTGAACCACACAATTAACCAAATCAGCAGGGTCAGTGACACCGCATGAATCGATGGCGAATTTGATCGATTATTCGAAAATTCGGTCGCAATCAAAAGTGTGACACTGTGTGATAGAACAGTCAAAAGTTGTTTTTGTTCACAAGAACTAAGACAGTTGAGGTGTTTGTAGAACCTTCGGAACCTGAAGTGACCAACCGTGTGTGACGAATGCTTGTGCACTTCTTCCATTTTACGTCCGGAACCTATTGTGCATCGAAATGAGATCAGTCTGTCAGTATTTTTGTTCCTTTCATCATCCAAGTCAGATATGATTGGTGCGTTTCACTGTGTCAGTACTTGATATGGTCCTTTCTGATTGCATTTGGTTTCTTCATCCTGGCCATTTATCCTTCTCTATCTTTGTACTCTAATCGCCACAGTCTTACCGGGCAGCAAAGTTTCTGCCTTGGAAGACATGTTGATGCTTAGCTGATCCCGCTTGAGTTTGGGCAAAACTTTATATAACTTTATATACACATCGTGACTAATAAATTCAACTAGACTGAGGTTCTTTTCTGTTTCATCCACTTTGACACACATACACACAAAACGATCGCCGTAAATTGCTGTCCTGCTTGATTAATCTGAACATTTCATCCTAAACCAAACACCCCTTCTCGATCTACCAAATTAAGTCATTTTATGTGAGTGTACTGTTGTTTATCACGCCATCCCTTACAAAAGCACAGACAACAAGATGCTCCTAAGGCACATCCCTGATGGAAGACGCATAGTGTATGCAACACAAGGTGAAACAAAACATAAGTGGCACACACCGGTGCTGGCCGAGGACATCAATTGAACGCCTACGATCGGTATGCATGACACCCTCTCAGTAAGAAAACACGTAATCAGATACAAGGTAGAGGCGGACACTGCGGAATCGGCACCTCGGAAGTTACGACAGTCGTCTAGACCAGATTCATGCGCACAGCACAACATAGCACGCAGTTAACACTGGTAACCTTCTTTTAGAAGTGAAAACTGAGGTGGCAGACAACAGAACGTGTACTTGTCACCAAAAGGAAGTCCGATTTACAAATTCATCTCATCTGTTTATGCACGATCTCGTCCCCTGTGGATTGATGTAAACGGTGGGAGAATTCACAGAATTGGGCAATAAACAGTCAGAAGATGAGGGTGAACAGTGTGGCACAAAATGAATTGCAAAAGGTTGTATACATATAAATTTACAAATACTCGAGACAGATGAATTTTAGACTAAACGTTTATATCGAATATAAAATAAAATTGTGTTACAACGTTCGTTCACTTCCTAAAGTTGGTAGAAATTAATGAGGATCATTCATCCCTTGTGTTACTCAAACTATGAATATTGCGAACGAATTTTCTTGAGGAATTCATATCCAGAGCCTTCGGATAGCCAAATCCTGACCCACAAGGCAGCGGGGCGGTATGTGAAAACTGCCATGCGTTTAGGGCCGAAGTCCAGTATCGCGAATCATACACCCTTTGGACGGGGTCAAACGTCCA